TTAGCAGTGGCTGTACCACTGCTAATACAATATTTCTTTTTTGAACCATTTGATGATTACATTTTTAAACCACCAAATGCAGAGCTACAGAGCTACACTTAGGGTGCATTCAGAGTCATAGACTGGGCTAGGATCAGGCAATCCATTTGGACAAACTGTGATAATGGAGTATTGTCTGTTGACTGTGACTGTGTTGTCTATTGGCAGTCAATATCTGTGACCAGAAAGAGTTGTTCTCTGGATTACACCAAAGTAACAGACAAGAAGCAAGTTGTTGCATTCTTTTTATCTTTCCTCAGAAAGTTTTTAAACAAGAAATTTTTTAAACAAGTTTTTAAACAAGATGAAGAAACCAGTTCTGATGATAATTGTATTTTGTTATTAACATCTTTACAGTCATCTCACACTAATGCAAAGTTTATTGTTCTGGGAAAGCACTTGGTAAGATACATAAGGCAGTAATTATTAATAAAGATGATATAGTTTGCATCTGCAGAATATGAGCCTGAATTTCCTCAAATATTGCATGTTACAAAACATTCTGAACACAGAATTATTGACATCTATTATCTTGTTCACATTGTCAAATTGATTCCCAAACCCACCAGTGCTAACACTTACAAAAAATACAGACTGATCTGCCTTCTCCCAACTCTGGTAAAAGTGTTAGACAGTCTAATGATTAATAGGATCACATGGCATCTACGCAAGCATAGAGCCCTGCGTCAGAATCAGTTCGGCTTCTCTAAAAATAAAAGTACAGTAGATGCCATCCATCAAGTCATTAACTACATCCACCAGGCTAAACAAAACAATCAGCATATTACAATTATCACTATTGACTTTAGAGGCACCTTCAATCATGCCTGGTGGCCTTTTATCCTGCATACATTACATGCTCATCACTGCCCTCAAAATCTTTACAAACTTCTTCAGTCCTATCTTAACAACAGGAGTGCAGGTGTTTATACAACACAAAATAACATAGTCATACCCATCACTCAAGGCTGTCCTCAGGAATCCAGGTCTGGTCCTGGTCTCTGGTCTCTGGAACGTAGCCTATAACTATTCTGCACTTAAACAACATCCTGCCTCCTGACTGCCACATACAGGGCTATGTGAATGATACTATTATCCTAGCTTCACACAGGAACAGTGAACGCTTACAAGACATATGCAACAACATTCTCAATAACATTCACCAGTGGAGTATTAAGCATAGACAGTCCATTAACACAGACAAATGCAAAAGCATGATAGTTGATAGGAACACACCACTCGTCAGGAAGCTTACTTTGAATAGGTGCTCACAGAATAAAGCAAACAACGGAAATTAAATATTGAGGTGTTATTCTTGATGAGAGACTTAACTTCACTCCCTACATCAAATACAACACGGACAAAGCTAAAAAGACAGTCAATGCCCTCATTGGTATTGCTAGGAACACATGGTGCCTTAGCCTTAATGCTATTAAACTTATTTACAGAGGTGCAATTCAGCCAGCACTTACTCCTCTATGCCGCACAGGTCTGGGGCCATGTGGCCACCAAAGTCCATAACTGTAAAAACCTGTTATCTGTTCAAAGGATTGCAGCTCTCCACATTTGTAAGGCTTATAACAGGGCTGTCCAACTGGTCCAAATAATTTTTACGGCCCCCCGAGTACATTTTACTNGACATTTTCCAACAAACTGAAATGAATTTTCTTTGTTGCTAGACTAATTTATTAACACCTGCACCTAATTTCAAGGGCGGGAGAAGTGCCCGGGATGGATTCGAACGAGAGTTTAGACTAATTTATTATATTAGGAGGTAAAAACGTTGTTGAGATGGGTTCTTACAATAGTTTAGACCAGATACATTCGCGAAAGTGGTCGCTTATTACAGGTGTTATATGTTGTTCCGAACCAAAAATCGATGCCCACAGATCGATGTCGCATTACACAGGTGGTCGTTTAATACAGGTAACTTATACGAAGACTCTATGGGTAAACTATTCCATGCCAGAAATTTTTGCCCGTTTTGACAGGTGCCCGTCGAATGCAGGTGGTCGCCTAAGCAGTTTTCACTGTATTTAGTTTGCGTAACTTCACTTAACCTGGCTGAATACAGCAGCAACCTTCTTGGCCCCCGAAATGTTTGGTGAAGGAAATATGGCCCGTGGGCTATGATAAGTTGGACAGCGCTGGCTTATAAGACCACACCCACCAGTGCCCTTTTGGTAATGTCAGGATTGACCCCTATCAAATTAGAAATTAAACATTATTTGGCAGGAAAATCTTGTCACCTTACCCTAGTGAGATTATAGTGACTCGGATGTCAACAAAATGATTAAAATAGGTAAGATTCCCCCAAGTTTGACCTTGATCGATGATATCAAAAAATTCAGCATCAACAAAAATACCCTCCCAACTTATGACTACCATCCCTCCCACCAGCTTGCCCCTGACATTTACTTTATAGATCCAGGTGATCATTCCATGTTTAGGATTTATACTGACGGTTTCAAGATGGGTGACAACGTGGGTGTGGCTTTTGTAGTTTACTCTGACTTAAACCATCAGCTTCACAACACTTGCTTCCATCTAGGTTAGGTTAGGTACACACTGCTCAATAACACAGGCAGAAACTTTAGATATTTATATGAGCTTAATTCACATTGTAAGGAACCAAGTCCGAGCGTTATTTTTAGTTACTTTTATTTTTGCTTATTATCCTATTTTTGTTTGGGGCTTATGTTTTGTTAGGATGAAGGTTTCCTCACCATTCACCTTACAAACTTAAAAATAGAAGAGAAACCAACCACCAACGAGAGAAAAGTGCCATAGGAAAAACTCACGAACATTTGCACTCTCGAGCGGAGAAAAGGGGGAGACTCCACAAGCATAACTTAGGACCTTGCTAAACCTTAAAGAATAAAAACATCCCAAAAATTGTCAAAAAGAATAATGTAAAAGGTTAGCGAGTATTGTCGGAAAATAGGCTGCCAGACAAATAGAAAAAGTTTGTTAGCAAATAAGTATGTAAATGAGGGGAGTGATTGCATTCAGAATTGTGATGTCACCTCACAGTATAAAGACCGAACCTCAAGTGAAGATGGATGAGGTGAGCTTCTGTTAGCAATGAGCGTGGTGAGCTTTGTAGCAGTAAATGAGAGAGAGGTGTCCGATAGGATAAAATAGTTCCAAGGCAAGTTTGAAGTTATTCGATTTGTGGATCGAAGATTAGGGAAAGTCTTGAGTTGAGGAAAAGGGTTCCTAGTATATTCAGGTGACGATTAGGATCTTTAATTCATAAGAATTATTGTATATAAGTCAAGTCTTTGAAATTTTGTCGAATTCCAAAGGGGAATAGAATTAAGTTAGAAAATAGATTGAATTGAGTTTTGTCAGGTTGATTCTTATTGATTTTCATTGAATAAATTGTTATTTGATTTTTTACTAAATTCTGTATATAGTTATTACTAGAATTTTATTAAATATTGGATTGTTATTGACTAACTTTGTCATTATTTAATTTGGTGCATGCTTAAAATCCAGGCCTGGCACACTAACGCGTATCTGTGTAAAGTACCCGTTAGGGAACAGCTATTTCCGGCACACAGTCGTGTCGATAATCGTTGTAGAAAGTCGGAAAAATAATATAGTGCTTTACAACATTAGGTGTAGGGAGGACAAAAGACACTACTTAACACTATTGCATTTATTCTGACAGTAGGATGGCTTTACACAGGATTGCAAAGTCTGATAGCTACTTAAAACTCATCCATCTCATACACTACATTTTTAGATACTTAAACATTAGAATAGATTTCCAATGGGTCCTGGGTCATGCGGGGGTTCTTGGCAACGAGACTGCTGACCATCTTGCTAAACAAGCTGCAAAGTCTTCAGTCACTAGTATTTTCAGTTACATTCCTACCTCGTACATCAACAATCATGTCAAGAGGCAAAACTTCATTCTCTGGCAAGACAGCCAGGACCATGACACCACTGGTTTACCTAAACTTCCATCCCCAAGGTTGACACTACTGCGATTCTTCATCACTTTTATCCTAGTTACACCCTCACTCAGCTACTTACAGGACTCGGCAACTTTAAGCAATATTTTCATAGATTTAACCTTGGGGACAGTCCACAATGCAATTATGGTATTCAGGAGGATCAAACACCGCCGCAATAGGTATAATCACATTAGGGATATTTTAATGAGAGCTGCTATTCTTGAAAGGTACAACTGGCCTTGCAACCTGCACCAACTCATTCACATGTGTACAATGTTCTATCATCTACTCACATTCATATCACTTAGTGGGGCTCTTGAGAACACTCACTCCAGGGACACGGATGGCAATTAGCTTTCTCTTACTTTGTTTCAACTGTCGGTATATAGCTGCCTGTCAACTTTGTATTTTAATTCTTATTTTCTGTCTTCTTTTTCAGTCTAAATTCGGTTAGTTAGGTTAGGTTAAGTTGAATTAGATTAGGGTTTGTTAGCTTTAATTGTCTGATTAGATTCATCCTAGGTTATGGTAGGTTAGTTTAGTTAGTAAGTTAATGTTTAAAAAAATAAAAATTTTAAAAATTTTGGGGTCTTGCTCATTCATCTCGTCTAGTTTGCTTTTTGCACTGTCTTTCTAGCTGTTAAGTAGCATTAAGTAGTTAGGTCTTCCTACTAACAGCCACTTGGCACTAACTTCTACACTTAGCTATTGGTGTTCACTACACTCAGGTTTTCTTTTAGAACCTTCAGGGGACTATGGCCTTGCAGCCTAAAAACTGCATGCCAACATCATAGAGGGTACTGTAGTCTTATGTGTATGCCATTTAGAGGGATCCTACCTTTCTCTATCATCTATCTCCTCTCCTTCCCTCCCTCCTTCCCCTCCCCTTTCCATTAACCTATTTTCTGCCAGCTAAACACTTTGTGTACGGTTGATGTCTTTCTTGTATGTATGTATGTATCTTGATCAAATGGAGACTCACTGCCCCAGCATGAGTATATGAGCATATGGACTAGACTGGATCACAACCACATTATGTTATCAACTCCTCCTCTGAACACTGTCAGGCATTCCAAGCTTCAACCATAAATGGGATGATCTATGCCAAAGTGACTTGGTTGAACTGGTCTCCAATTCTGAATGCACCCTTAATGGTGTTAGGGCCAGGAATGTTAATAAATCAAGAGATTCCTGTATTTTGCATAATGGCTGAATTAACCAGAACTGTTTTTCTGATATATTCTGAAAAATTTTTGAAACAATAGCATTAATAAAAGCTAGACTTTTTCAAGTTATATTTTAGGACTATTTTTGTTGCATATTATTAATATGACTGTAGAATAATCATGTAATTTGATAAATATTGGTTCAAATAAATATTAAATTTAGATTAATTCAAATCATGAATACGAGAAAGTGTACTAAATAGCATTAACTAATGCATTTGCTATTCATGAATATCTCTAGTTATCTAATAAAAGAATATTGTTAGTTTTTAAATTTGTTATATTGCAATTTTATAATGTATTTATTCTTAAACTTACCATATAGACTTTTTAGCAAATTAAATATTGTAATAGTTATGATTAAACTTTTTGAGAATATTAAAATTTGTTGCCTCTATATAGATAGAAATAAGAAAAGTTTCTTACTGTTCTTACAAATATGGAAGAACTGATATCTAAGGGAAGAGAAGAAGAAAGAGAAGAAAGTTCCCAAACAATTCTCTGTTCCTTTTATGAAAAGTAATTTAAAATCAGCATATTAAATTTCTGAAAATATGAAAATGATGCAGATTGTTCACTTACTTGTTTTTCTATTGTTCTATCATGCTGGCGTACAAATGCATAATAATGACCAAAAGGTCCATCAACTGAAAAAAAAAATAATAGTAAACATATACTCAAAATGTGACGGGTTACCAATTAATAGAATAGATCTGGCTATTATAGATTATAGCATAAATGTAATTTGATATTTATGAATAAACATAAACTACACAATTTCAATTTTAAAAAAATTTGCAAAATATATTCAGCATATTTTTGATTTGTATTTTAAATTATTCTCATGACTTTGGCATGATTTAATTATAAGAAATTTATAAATTGACAAAAGATCAGATAAAAGTTTTTTAAATTTAGCCGTGCTTAAGCACACGTATACATGTGAATATATTAATATTTCATGCTTGTAAATTTGTAAGACCAATTTTAACAACAAAAATAAGAAAATTAACATAAAAAAATAAATCATTTTATAGTAAAGGAAAATTCATTTAGCAAACAATATAAACTGTGAAGCATTTTATGGAAAGAAGGAACGACCAGGCAAATTATACATCAAATAATTTTGAGATGTGATGCATCCAATAGTACAATTTACAAGAAAAAATGGTTATCTTATGGAAAAATTGGCTCAGAAACAAATACCAAATGCTATTGCATCTTGGGATACTTGGTTTTGGTCCTTACTGAAAGACATGTTCCGTCATCCAAATTGGGAATGAAAAAATTACTGTGAATAGATTAAACTGGGAATCAAAGCCGATACAGTTCTTTTTATTCTAAAATACACATGGTTGCAGGAAAAATACTGTTTGAAAAAAATAAGAAAAGTTCTCAATGTTGATGATGATATGTATATTCCACTTGACCAAGAAATTCCTGGAGGAAAGTTTTTCCATGATTTAGAACATTCTGTCCTGACTGCCAGTTTGCATTTTTAATTCTGATTCAAATTAACAAAGCAGCAGATAATTTTATAGGCACAGGAATATTTCCAACCCATATTATGCAGATGGAACTATCAATACATAAATATATAGTTTCAATTAAAATAACTGACATTATTTTGCATTAAAAATACATAGAAGAAACTAAAACGTTTTCATGTCTCCATCATGTCTAATCACCAACAACAAACAGTCTTCCTTTACAGAAACAACCTTTTATTAGAGACATATTTTTATGGAGATGTAGCCTCTAATAAAATATTGTTTCTGTTAAGGAAGACTTTTGTTACTGGTGATTGAATGGATATGATGGAGATATGAAGACATTTTAGTTCCTTCCGTATACTTTTAGTATAAATATATCTTAGGAATCAATTTTTCTTTATGCATTAATTTTTCATATTCTGGCACTATCACTGACCAAATTTTTTTCAGAACATGGCAAGTGCCCATTATATAAGAATGTGGTCAACTATCTGGAGTCTACAAGCATTCACTTAATTAATATACAGTATTGACCAAGATTAGTGCTTTTATGTTCACAGGCACCAGTGCTAGTCAATACATCCCTATACTACTTGAACAAATCCTATCTGCTCATGTTAAATACTGTAATATTATTACTGTACTTCTAATGTGCTAAAATAAACAATTATTTTTTATTATGAAAATTAAAACCATAATAATTGTTTCATAATTGTCATTTTTATTTATGAAATAGCATATCATAGATTAATACTTTTATCCATTTAAACAGTTTACTTTTGTCAGTTTATTTTATAAACACATTTAACTAAATATTTAACTTCTAGTAAAAAAACTTTTGTTACTAGAAGTTACACATTTAGTTAAATGTGTTTATTAATTCATTCCAGAACTGAGAAGAAGATAATTTTAGTCAATTTATTTATTGAACAATATCTACTATTTGATATACTATTGGACACTATAGATCAGCACTGGTCCCTATAAATATGAAGGTCAGGTCCTTTGGTGCCTCTGGAAATTTCTCCAAATTCACCCTATTATTTAAGATATGAGAAACATTGCATATAAGATGATAATTTTTTAACTTTTAAATAATTTATTTTACATGTTTTCTTTGATGATTTTAAATTAATTAATTCAATTTTCAATCATCATCATAATTATATATTAATATAATTAAGGAAACTTTTTACCTTCCATATCCCATGTTTCAAATTGAAGAGGTTTCAAACATTGTTTATAAAAATTTGCCAAAACGTCATCTTTTACATGAGGAGACTAAAATTTAAAATATAATAATTTTTTAAATGGAAAAGACAAATTTTATTAATAATGATAAATAATTACACAAATTATGATGAGTACTTAATTTTATTTTTGAAAATTTAGCTAATGAAATTTTCAAACAACTAACTTTACTCTTTAAATTATTATAATAACCAAATTCCAAAACTTTTTCTTTATTTCTTATAGAATAATTTCAAAAGAAAAACTGCTATATCAAATTATGTATAAAAAAAATCAAAAAACAAATTTTAAAAATAGTGTTATATAATTTTTTAAAGTGATAAAATTTATCTGAAAGGGGAGAGAGATTATTCAAATTATATCTGTAATTTAATTTATATTATTTTAAACTACTTCTCCAATAAAGGTAATTAATAATAAAAATTCAATATATACAGAAAATAAAGATTAGTTGCTAATATATTTCTATGGTCATCATCAAAAAAAAAAAAAAAAAAAATTCTATTATTCAGAGCATTAGAATTATCTTCACTTGTTTACTTTATAACTATACTTTAATCCAGTAAAAATTATAATGTAAATAAACATATTCAACTAGTTAACATCATTTACATAAACAACTTCAATCCAGTAAAAAAATGTTAAGTTTTGACATTCAATTAGGGATTTAAAATTAATAAAACTTTTATTATTACTATTAATAAAAACTAGTTAACCAGCTGAATGACAAGTATATTTTAAAATTTCACAAAAGAAACACAAAATCCTTATCAACTGTCCATATCACATTCTGGGAACAAACAGTCTTATGGCAGAGTTAACCTTTTACTATAGACTTTTATCCATCTCAATACGTAAAACCTACAATTATAGGTGGATAAGAGCTTACAATAAAAGATCTATTCTGCCATAAGACTTTGTGTTTCTTCAAAAATATTTTTTGTGAAATTGTATTATTACTGTTGTAAAGTTTTTCAATAGAATTAGAAGTCTTTGCATTAATCAGTTTATCATAACAGTGTTAAGTAAATAGAAAAATATCCTGCTTTTCAGAATTTAATTTTTGTAAAATGAAATCTGTTTTTTATTATTTTGGCAGAAAGAAAAATATTCCAATAGAACTACAAAGTGACATTTAGTTTTATCTCTTTGTGGTTAATATATTTTATGAACAAAATATGACTGAGTTTTGTTTACATTTGCAAAGACAAAAGTGTTATCAGATCCATACATAATCTTTATTAATTCATAATGAATATCATATATTTTTTTATACATAAGACTATATTGTCAAAATACACTAATTACAGCTAAAGTTGATGGACAATTAGTATTTACATATAATATAATAACTGATTTAAAGATATATGATTATAATCGCAAATTAATAATATTTTTTTAAATATTCTTGATGTTTTTATTTGTTACTGAATTTATATCATATATCAATTTATTCTGAAAAAATAAAAATTTTCTTGTTAAACTTACCTGTACTGTTTTATATTTTAAAAGTATATCTTGTGATATTTGTGATTGCTTTGGTATAAAATCTGTAAATTCAAATTAAAAAAAAAATACTTAATTGGTCAATATTCCATAATGTAAAACAATAGATAAAACTTTTTATAATGAAAATATAATTAAAGTTCAATCTTAATTGTGTAATAAAATATTTACCTGTAACAGTTTTATACAATGAAGAAAAATCTCTAAAATAAAAGTGAAATTTTTTAAAATTATAATTTCTATCTAAATAAAATCTATATTTAAAAATGTTTCATAAATAATACATTATTTTAAACTTTACTATTTATTTAAAGAAATGAAATCTTAAAAACTGTTGTGTTTATGATGCAATTTATTTATTTATATTTAATTAGAAAACATAATAGTAGTCATACTCAACATTAAAGTCAATTATTCCATTAAAAATCAAAAATAATTTTGTTTTTTAAAAAGAATAAAAAGTATTGTGCCTAAGATAATAATATTGTTTAGTTAATTTTTGATGATTTTATTCTAACAGATTACAAAATTGTAATTTTGTTAATCAGAGATTAGAAGAATGAATAATTAGCATTAAAAAGTAATGCTACTTTAACTTGTATTATTTTCATTATTCTTATTTTATTATTTAGAAGAAATTAGTTAATAAAATAAAAATATTAAATAAAGAAATAAAGTTAGCTTGCTAAGAATCTTATCTCATAATTGGATTAAATGCCAACTGTTGTTTTTTGGGAAGAAAAGTGAAGCTTCAATTGTACTTGCAGAATATTTTAACAAGTGTTATATAACAGAGAGGGCCAACAAGTCGATCGCGATCAACCGGTTGATCACTTGTGATGTCTTGACTTAATGTGTTACATTTGTAACTGAACATAATGCAGAAAACACAACTGTAGTGATACTGGACCTCTGCATCTTTCTCAGATGCGGTTTTGTTGGTCCATGTGCAATCCATTTGCATACAGTTGTAAAAGGGGAATAAGAAATGTAGACAAAGGATCATAAAACCGAAAAAACGAAAGGTGGGGAGAGGGACAGAGAGAGTAGGTCAGGTAGAGAGGAGGAAGGGTAAAGTGGTGGTCTCCGAAAGTGACAACGTTGAATTTCAATTTTTCTTCTGTTTAAATGTAAGTACCTTTCCTTCATATTTTAAATCAAATTGTGGCTTTTCTTACCTATCTAAACATAGTATGTATTTCACACCTCCCTCTCGCCATTTAGATTATGCCTATGACAACAAGTCAACCGCAACACATTTTAAAGATAAAAAATAGATGTTATGTACACAAAAGTTGGCAACCCCTATTATATAAGATTAAAAATCAAAACAGAGCAGCAATGTGATATGACAATTTTCTTGCATCTGCATCTACCATCAGAAGAAAATTACTGATTGACGTTTGATTGAAAGTTTATTTTTGATCAGTAAAGTTTATAAACTAAGTCTACATTAAAACCATTTTTGTGATTATTAGATGTAAATGTATACATAATACTTATAATGTATTTCCTTGATTCTAAAGCATACTTTTTTAAATCTGTTTTTACTTATAGAATAGAAATGCATCTTACATTCACAGTCTAAAACGATAATCTGAAATTACATGTGACGTATTATTACCAATAATAAACATTTTGGCATGTCAATAGTCACATTGTTCAAGTGAACTTTGCTAGTAATAAGCATTTAATTTAAATTTCTTTTTGACATTTAAAATACTTTTGTCAAGATGATGATATGATGTACTAAAAAAAAATTATGGCAGATACAGAAGAATATGGAAATAACACTGCTGAATATTGCCTTTCATGGAATTTGTATCATTTTTCCAACTGTTTGATTTTTTTACTTAACAAAACTTAGGAAAAACTTTTAAATAATCAATTTTATTTCTTTAAAACTTAAAAATATGTTTTCACTTATCTCTTTTATTGTCTATGACACTGTGTATTAAAGTTTATTTATTTTATAAACTTTAAAAAAAGCTTTATTTATTTATTGCCAATATTTTATATGAGAAAGAGAGAGAGGTTTTCTAAATTTTTAGAGTTTACTTTAAAACATAATTCACAAACTTATTTTTGGAAATATCTGGATGCAATTGTTATTACTTATTTTGTAAAGATTAAATCTGCAATTATATTACATGATTTCAAGTTAATTTGTACAAGGTTTGCATTCTACTATTTTAATTTGCAGCAAATACTGTAATAAACCAAACCTACACAACTTTCTTGCTTGTAAACTAAATTCTAAACTTCATACACATCAGACAAGGCATGGAATCATATAATAGTTACAGATTCATACTTTAGTTAAATATGATAATCATAATAAAATCATAGATTCATAAATTAATTAAACATCTTAAAACTAATTTTTAATTTGAAATTAGATAAATTTAAACCTTGCCAATCTTTCTTCAGAAAATCGATCTTTTACTGTTTGTAAGACCCCAGATGAATATGCCTCATTTTCTTCTGGAACATTTTTATGTTTAGGTGAAGAAATTTTAGGTGAATTTTTACTCATTCCAGGAATACAGCCATTTGCTGCAACTTTACCTAAACGTTCTAATATCCCATTAGACTAGACAAAATTAAACAAAATATTTATCAAATATGATGCAAATAATAAGAATTACAAATTCTTAAAATAATAGAATAATATAAATTTAGAATAGAATAAAATATATCTTTTATAATATAAAAATAATTGAAAACTTACAAAATGTAAGAAGCTTAGTACAATATAGTGACAGCTCATAGATTCAGAAAATGGTGGCGGCCAGATTATAGAATTTTAACATAAATAACAAAACAAAAATAAACCATGCAAAATTAGGCATGTTTTTTATCTGTTTATTTATAGGTTTATGGTATTAAATTATCAATGTTATGAAGAATACCATGACAGGTTCAAAATATGTAAATACAGTAAGCACTAGCATAAATAATAATGAAAACTGAAAAAATTTTTAAGAAGCCCTTAAAATTGAAACAAATGCAATAAAAATGAATATATCAAACAACAAAGCCTGATTTGTATATAGAAACATAACGATTGCCTTAAATAATCAGGCTATAACTCCACTAATTTAATGCTTAATACTAAGTAATTTGCTACTAGAGGTAGACGTTAGGTTCCATCTCTTAACTAAATTAATAATTATAATTTTAATAATTTAGAATCATCTGGAAGAAAAAAATTATTAAACTTATAATCATTAATTTAGTTAAGAGATGGTGCCTAACATCTACCTCTAGTAGCAAATTACTTAGTATTAATCATTAAATTAACAGAGTTATAGCCTGATTATTGAAGGCGATCATTTGGTTATGCTTCTGTAAAAATGAGTAAAAGCAATACATAAACATATGATTTAATATACAGTAGAGCGTCGTTTATCCGAATCAACTGGGGACTGGGGTGGTTCGGATAACTTATTTTTCGGATAACAGATTATGTACGAAAAAATACCTTAACCTATCCCATGTTGAAATTTTTCTCCATTGCGTGTCGCTTCGCGTTGAATTTTCGTCAATGTTAAGCTTAATGTAAACTTTTTAAAATAATAATCATGGCTATTGTATTGTTAAAAGTTACTTCTTTATTTTTTACAAACAAAATATATATATATATTAAAAAATAAAAACAAAAAAATTATAGTTTAGAAGTTAATCTAGTATCAAAAACGTTCAATTCAGCATGACACACAGTCCTTGGAATAACACCACACAAAAGTGTCAGTGCTGCCAGCTATAACACACACATCAACAAAAAAAATATTGGAGTAGCCCAAGATATAGTCGAAGATTTCAGCGCCACAGCACTAGCGAAAATTTCAATTTGCCGACTGGAATTCTTTCGGATAACCGACGTTTCGGATAAACGACGCTCTACTGTATTTAATTATTACCAATTCATTGGAAATACCATTTAATTAAAACAAAATCATTTATATAATAAATTCTCAAATATTTTTGGACTGTTTGCTTGTCCTAGGGATCATCATAATTAAAGTTACAAAATTATTTCTTAAAATATAAATTTAAAAAATTTTTTCTTTTCAATATACATTTAACAATTCTATCCTTTCTGAATGCTCGATTATAATTTAGCAACTTGTAAAACATTAAAATTTCTTAACTATTCTGAACAACTGTATTATATTAATAATTAAAAATAAATAGAAATCAAATAACCAATTTTTATATAAATTAAAGTTATAAGCAAAATATTAAAAACTTAAAAATATTTATAACCAAAGATAAATTATGCTATAATTTTGTTTTGCTGATTGCAACTGTCCTCTGAAAATGAATAAATTGAAAGCATCTGGAAAATTTTGTGTAATGATTTGTTCCAATAAAACAGTGTTTGTAATTTAAACTGTAGCTGAAGAAAAATATATACAGTAGAACCTCAATTATCCGGACCTCTATTATCCGGATTTTCGATTATCCGGATTGTTCGAAATAAACAAAAATTTGACGAATTTGCTGATTTGCACTTGGCGAATTACGATACTGTTTATGTATGTGATGGAATGCATAATTTTTTTTTGTTTCAACAACATCTCACCCGGCACAGTGGTCGTAAACTCTTAAATATATTTTGCGTCGTAATAAATATATAATTTGACATACGTATTTATAAATACAGTAACTTATATTCAAATTATATGATTTCTATGACCAAGTGCGGCATTTGGGCAACTTGGGCCACCGCCTATGCCTCGCTGTCCAAAGGGCCTCACTCCTCGAAGGTTTATGCATTACTTAAAAGCTGCGAACGCGACGAAAAAATTTTACTTGTCATAAAACGATAAATAGTTTATCAAATTTTTATTCATAAAAATGCAGTTTCAACTGCTTTTTATTTTATAAAATGCGTCTTCTTGCGTCACCAGAGGGCCTTTTAAACAATAGGTAGTCTGTTAGCACTGATCAGTAGTAGTTCAAATTCAATACGAACGTTTGTTTCTTGAAAATTTGATCACGATTTAAATACAGTATTTATTTTTAATATTACCGATATGGCATCGAAAAGAAAACGTGTATTATCATTAAAAGACAAATTAAAGTATTTGTTTCGATTATCCGGATTTTTCCTTATCCGGACTACCTTTATCCCCAATTAGTCCGGATAATCGAGGTTCTACTGTATGTATTTTTAACTATTTATATTAATAATAATAAAATTGAACCTTTTCAGCTAATTTTTCCAACTTTTGTTGAATACTTATTGCTTGATAAGGTAGTGTTCCCAATAAAAAGATGAGATGAGGTTGACTTGCTGAAATATACATATTCAATTTAAAATCTGATATATTAATAGTATATAAATGAATCAACAATTTGAAATTCATTTCAAATATAGTAACAATGTATATACATTATTTAATAATGTAAGATGAATACATGTATAGTACATAGAACAAGAGGCAAGAAAAATTTACCTGACGTATAATACTCCTCCATATTATTTTATTTATAAACATTTTATTATAAAAATTGTAAATAATTAATAATTGTATTCTCTATTCCTGTAATATGCCAAAAATAATGTAAAAAACTGAAGACAGGAATATTTTTTCTAAATTTTCATTATTTCCAATGTAAAATATCTGATCTGATTTTATAAATGATAAAGAATGCATTTATGTTCTTTTACTGTCGAGAACTACATTTTTCTCATTTTTAACCAATTACAGTAGAGCATCAATTATCCAACCCCTGATTAACCGTCACATCGGTTAACCGACCGTTCTAGTCGGCAAATTTCAAATGTCCGTTAGTGATGTGGCATTACAACATTTGGCTATGTCTTGGCTACTTTAATATTATTTTTCTTTTAATTATGTGAAACCGTGCTTTGAAATTCATTTCTGCTTCTAACACAATAAAGTGCTATAAATTAAGACACTTGGCGGTTTAAGATGAAAAAAACCGCCAAGTGTCTTAATTTATAGCACGTTATTGTGTTAGAAGCAGAAAAGAATATTATTTTTGTTAAATTTTTGCATGTTTTATCTGGCACCAATGGCTTGACCATTGAAGGGAGGCCAGTATTTAAATGAGACTTAATTTTCTAATTATGAGTGGTTGTTTATTTCGTGAGCAATAAAACAATTTAAAAATAATTTTTAATGATACAATAGTGACGATTATTATTTTAAAAAAAAATTTGTTAGGCTAAACATCAATGAAAATTCAACGCAAAGTTGGTTAATAGCGATATACTAATAAACTAATTACATGGGATATACTAATATCCTGATATACTATACTAATAATGTATTTTTTCCTTCTTTTCGGTTATCCGATTTTTTCAGTTATCTGACCAACCTGAGTCCCCAATTGAGTCAGATAATCGATGCTCTACTGTAATACATTATTGAGTCATTCACTCATATTACTTTTCTTATAAAATTGAGAACAACAATCCTATAATTGTTGATAATTCTTTTTTAAGATCCAGAATTCTCAATAGAATATCTTTTCATCAAGACAAACCTAATCTATTTACAGTAAAACCTTGTTATTTGAAAACTCAAGAAACCAAAAAAACACGACTTCAAATTATCTGATTTGAATTATCCAAACTTTTCTTTAATCAAATTTTTTTGTAATTCTCAAATCAAATTATGATATTGTCTTATATAATTTTGTTTGATGGAACATGGCAATGTAACATGTGGAAGATTTGTAAGCAAAAAATGCCTTCTGAGATGATTTTTTACAGGAAACTGGCCCTTATTTAGGAGTTAGACATGTAAAGAAAATCTGAAAAACTCTGAAGCCAGCATGAACTCACAACTAATTACTAGTATTTAATGATTTTATCTACTTTGACAACTGTGGGCTTAAAAATAAAAGGATCATTTCTTAATGTGTTTCTATGATATCTATTCAATGAAGTTCTTGAAGTAAAGATTTTAATTTTACATAAAAAGTACATACAAAGCTCTGGGTGCCAGAGTTAAAAATCACAAGCTGTATGTCATCAGATAAAGAAAAAGTACACCATTCTTAGAAGATGCAGAGATTAGGGAAATGAAAATTTTTACTTTAATGTCAGTACAGTACAAAATCTCTCTACCATAAAGAATGTTATATATATATATCATACCCTTTATAACTTATGACAAATGCAACCCCTCTAGAACAAATTTTCATTTAATAACATACAGTTGAGTCTGCATAAGTTGACATCCCAAGGGAAAGTGAAAATGTGTTATTATCCGATATGACGACTAAAGTGAAGTTGAAAAAAATCACAATACTACAATTAGGAAAATACAGTAGTGCAATGTACCTCTCTGACCATCCATCACTGTCACTGAAGTTGGTTTCTACTCCAAGTACCCCAGCAATTTCCATCGCCTTTTGTTTCAGTATCGGTCCCCAGATTCAATGAACGAATTTGCTTTAGACAACATACAAGAGCATCTTCAATATCTTTGTATGGCGACTTTCTCTGGCGTTTTCGAGACAGCCGCGACGAAAATCCAAAAAAAATTTCTTTATTTCTTCTTTTGAAATTAAGAAATTTTGTTTTTGGAAGTTTTTTTGTTTTGCAAATTCGGCTTGCGAAGTTTTCTTACGTTCAAATTCAGAAACAAGTTTGTATTTTTCCTTCAGCATAAGCATTGTTAGCTTATGCTAACAATGCTTATGCTGAAGGAAAAATACAAACTTTTTTTTTTAACAGAAACATGAAACAGGTGCTACAAATAATGCTTGACATGAGAAAATGCAAAATCAGATTCTGCTGTGACGTTGATATAGATTGTATATTTTCTTTTTGTTTATCTGTTATTATTTTATACAAAAATACATAAAATGTTAAGGCATTTTTATTAATATGTATATATTAATAAATAAGTCAACTCCCCTCCTGAGAAAAATGAGTTCACACCGCACAGTGTGGTGTGAACTCAATACGGTGAGTTAAATAGTGTCGAGTAAACCAGAGTTTTTTAACATTAATGCCTATGTAAGTCAGCTGAGACCACAGAAAACTGACTACTTAACCGATGGTGTCGAGCTATACCTATGATGACTTATGCAGACTCGACTATATTTTTATTTTATCATTCATAAAAAATGTATCATAAAAATAAAAAAAATGAAGATGTTGCTGATATTTCTGATTAAGATGAACAAAAATTTTGAGATGATGATGACATTTTGTAAAAAAATATGCCTTCGTTTCACTAAAATTAATATTAACATGTATTACAGTACTTTTAATTGTGATTATTAGTTAATTATTGATCAGAAATAAATTATTTATTGCTTTAATAGACATATTTCTCTTAGTAATGAAAAAGAATACTATACTTTTGTTAACTTTCAGAATGTAACTTTGTTTTGTATAGCATGGATGTGCATAACATGGCACTTTTTTAGAATATAACTACCATGTTATATGAGAGATACCTGTATTTTTAAATAACTGTATAAAAAAAAATATAGGAAATTTAAGCTTACCAATTTCTTTAATAAGATCAATAACTGTTTTGTAGAGCTGTAAGAAGTAAATTTTTCAAAATAAAAACTTTAATAAATAAATAAATAAATAAATTAATTAATTAATTAAATAACTGTACACATATAAATTTTAAATATAAAATACAAAATATTTAGAAATTACCATATATTTTCTAATAAATGACAAACTGTCTATTTTTTTTCGGCTCTTAACTGCATTGTTTATTAAAATAAATACAGTATTCTATTATTTAAAAAAAATTTAATCTAAAATTATCTCATTACTAAAGGTTATAAAAGATGGTGACTCTTCCTATCCTTACTAAAATTACTTAAATTTGTTACTTACTGGTTTGGCTTAAATAAAACCAAGAAATTTATTGTTTGGCTTTAACTTTAACTCAATTAAATTATAGTCAAGTCCGCATAAGTCGCCATCCCAAGGGGAAGTAGAAATGTGTCGAGTTATCCAATATGACGACTCAAACAAAGTTAAAAAAACAAAAATACAATTAGGAAAATACCGTAGTGCTTACTTTATACAGTACATGCAATGTATCTCTCTGATAGTGGTGTGCCATGACATTTGATGATAGGGCAGTAGTGTTTCTGTAAGAAGCTGACATCCAGGGGCAGTCAATTGCACGTCAGTGATGGTCTAGGATTCATTTGTATCATTTATTCGATAAGCCAGTAAAAACCATAGACTTCTCTAAATGCACCCCTTCCTACCCATGCTCGAGTCTGACTCGAGCAAGGTTCATAGCGTTACAAAAATCCAGGCGTTTGGGCCCCCCGAAAAAAATTTTTTTTTTGATTTTTGGAATGTTTTTTAGGTCCCCAAATTTTCAAAATTTTTTTCCCGTGCGAAAAAATTTTATAGCGATTTTAATCAACCTTTAATGACGCACGCTTCACGCTTTATTGCTTTTTAATTGTTTTTTAATGGGACTTTTTTATCAAATTTATTTCATCGTTCTAAAGTTGTAGTGCACTGATTTTCCTTCGGTAAAGTTATTTAAAGCTAGTTTCTGATGTCAAAAACGACCTCC